CAACCATGATGGAGGAAAGACTTGCTATTTGTATCCATTATTATATTATACTATTATGGAAGGCCTACTCCATGCTAGGTACTAGGAAAGAAATCAATAATGAAGCCAGGCATGGTTTCTGTTCTCCTAGAGCTTAAGGTCTAGCATGGAAAATAGTCATTAAGCATATAATGAGATGAGAGTTATGACATGGAAAGTATAAGGTGATGTGGGATTAAATGTCAGGGTAACCATACTAATTTAGAAGTCAGTGGAGGTTCCCTGAGGAAGTACCATTGAAGCTAAAATCTGAAGGATAAGTAGGTGTTAGTTGTGGTAACAGAAGAGTGGGGAGGAAGGAGGAAGTGGGAGACTGGTGGAAAAAATGTCCCAGCAACACTATTATATGGAAAATATATGAGTAATAAGAAAAGAAATAGCCTTTCCTTGTTATAGGATAAGATATTGGGAACAGATACCTTGTTGAGTATATTTTGTTAGTGGCCCGTGTTACCAAGGACAAAAATTCACAAGGTTCTCATTACCCTTTGTTAATAACTAAAGTTAGGTAACTCCTCCTTTCATAGGTATTGTTGCGATTAAAGGAACATCCTGAGGCATCCTGGATGAGAGACAGAGAAAGTCTAAATATCAGAAGACTAGTGTTATTTTTACTTTTGCTTATGACCTTGACCAAATGACTTATACATATACCTCTGTTTTGTCATTTGTAAAAGGGAAACGATAATATTATCCAACCCAATTTAACTTGCAGGGTAGGATCACATAAGATAATGCTGCCAAAAGTATAAAGTACTTTGTGCTTAATACTATTTTTTTACAGGTGTTTCAAGCATATTAAATAGTTTCTTGACATTTCTCTATATCAGTAGCAACTGAAATCCATTTTTCTTATGATTTCTAGTTGTAGCAATAGGGGCTGCATTTCCAACTCCACAATAAGTAAAAAGCCCTCTTCATTACCCCTGAAGAGGGACAGAACTGGATCCTGTCTTTTTTTTTTTCAAAGGACCCATTTGCTCAAAGCAAAAATATTTTGAAGTAGAAAAACTGAAAAATCCATTTATTTTGCAATCATCAAAAACCAGAATAAGTTTCAGCTGTAATCAAGTTCTCCAATTCTTTATTTTCTATGACAAAACTTATCTGATCAGTCCTTTCTTACTTGTCTATTTAAACTTACTATCTAATTTCCCAGGGGTGAATTTATTGACAAACAGTAATATAAATGCAAAGAAAGTTAAACTGAAATATAATCTCTACCTACTTAATAACTAAATCTTAGGTATTAAAAAAAACTTCAAATGTCATGTTAGTCTCTTAATTAATAAGGCAGACCCATGAAATAATACACTGTTAGTTTATGAGTTTATTTTGCCAAAAATTTACTCATCCTTGAGTAGTTATAGTTAAGTATTTAAGTGTCAAATATCTCCATCACAAATATTAAATTTTCCTGTATGTTTCTATAGCCACAATTAGGAATAATATCAAAAGCTCATTCTAAAATATTTTACAGGAGTGCCTGAGTGGCTCAGTTCATTAAGCATCTGCCTTCAGCTCAGGTCATGATCTTGGGGTCCTGGGATCAAGCCAGGTATCAGCATTAGTGGGGAACCTGCTGCTCCCTCACCCTCTGCCCCTACTCTTGCTCTCTTTCTCTCTGTCAGGTAAATAAATAAAATCTTTTAAAAAATAAAATATTTTACAAATATCGAGAACTGGACAAATATGCTTCTCAGAGACAAAGAGTGGGTTTTTAGTTTTGAATGGCACATCTCTTTTTGTTTATAGTCCTTTTTTTTTTTCCTTTGGTAAGCAATTGGATTTCAAATACAGGAACTCTATTAAAGATGTCTAATTTCAAAGTCCTGTTCGGGTCTTTAAAAAAAATTCGAGGGCAGCCCTGATGGCTCAGCGGTTTAGCACCGCCTTCCGCCCGGGGTGTGATCCTGGAGACCTGAGATCAAGTCCCACATCAGGTTTCCTGCATGAAGCCTGCTTCTCCCTCTGCCTGTGTCTCTACCTCTCTCTCTCTCTCTCTCTGTGTGTGTGTGTCTGTCATGAATAAATAAATAAAATCTTTAAAAAAATTTTGATTACAAGTTTCAGGAACCTTAAAGAAAGTTTGATAACTTTATTATCTTATTTCTGTACGGTTGTGGAGAAGATTATAAAAGCCATTTAAAAAGAGAAAATAGTTCATGGCTAACTGATTTCATTTCAGATGGAAAAAAAAGCTCTTAAAGTGCATATTTAGGAATCTCATTTAGTTGATGACCAGTTTAATTCTAATCTCTGTTAGTATATGTTTGAAGGAAATAGAGTTCATGGAATTATGCAGTCAGATCAGTGAGCACTTGCTCCTGCATTTGGTGTAGGGCAAAGGCCTTTGCAAGCGGAATCAAGAATGTAGGCTTCAAGTCTCAACTCTGCCACCCACTCTTCATGTCACCTAAGCCTCTTTAGAAAGTCATTTCACCTCTGAACATCAGTTTCTTATTTGTAAAATGGAGATAACAATGCCTTTATGGTAAGCTTGTTACTAAGAATGAGTGAGATGTGAAGGCTTGGTAAACTAGAAACTACAGAAGTAAATCACAAAATTTATCATGAGCTCAAAGATTCCCATAAGAAATTCTACAAAGAATAGTTTAATATGTATTTTGTGTTCTTGTTCTTGTTTCCTTTTCATATGTATATGTGCTAAATCCTTCATTAGGTTATAAGCTCCTTAAAACCACAGAGAGCAAACCATATCCTCTTCCCACGTGGCTCTCTGGATTACACATAACTAATGGACACTCACAGGCTTTGTTGCTAGATATCCTTTCTTATTCCTCAGTTCCACTATCGAGCAAAGAGTCACTACTGTCAGAAAGCCTACTTTCACCCAATTCTATGTCTAAACCTGCGTGCTGTAATCCATGTCTATTTCCACACATTCTCTCCCCTAAACTCATGGAGAATTGGCAGATCAGTATTGACTTAACAAAAGCCTTTCTCGCTGTTAGCAAACTCTTCTCAGCTGCAAGATAGAATCCTCAGTTCTTGATTTAAATCTACCCCTCTTCCAATCCAAAGCTACAGAATTGACTACTTTAGACCCAGGGCGGGGGGGGGGGGGGGGAGGAGAACCTGATGGCTCACTAAAGATTTCTAGAGCCAATGAGTTCCAGAGGAATGCCCAATCCTGCCTGGGCAATGGAGAAGAATAAATTACAGTGATGTGAAATGGCTAGAGGAAACATGGACAGAGAAGAAAAGCAGGATTCGGGTAAAGGCACCAGCAAAAGCAGAGTGTTCCGAGGGTACCGATATTCCCTTAGATGAACGATGAGATGCTCTGGTATACTCCAGTGCTTAAGCAAGAGTCTTTATTTAATAGGTAAGTTAGCATTAGCTCCTAATAAGACACTTTTAAAAGCCGAAGGGATGGTGAGGTTGGGATGGCTAGTTCTCAGTCTCCCTCCTTGGATCCTACAATGTCCCTATCTGATCTGGCCTCGGCTCAAAGTAGCTCTATATTCTTTTCATGAGGTTTTTAATAAGCGGGCCCAGTTCAACGCACCTCTTGCGTTTAAGAGAAGAGTAGTTTTAGCCAAAGCCACCTCGCTCGGTCTATACCGGTATGATGTTTCTTTCATTCAACAGCCCTTGGAGGGCTCACACAAGCCTCCGGCTGGAGGGAAACACGTGTGTCCAGAGCCAGCTCCGGCGCGCCCTGCGCTTCAGCACCACCGCCTCTGGATAGCGCCTCGCTGGCCCGCTGGCTGGCGCAGGCGAGGCCTCCCCGGGTCTCTCATCCACCTCCAGCCCGCCCCCCCCACCACACACTCCTTGTTTCCTTCAATGACAGAAAAAAGAGCACCCCAACTTCCAACCTCTACTCTCTGCCTGCTTCTGAAGTGACCTCGGCGTGGGTCCTCAGGGTCTGCCCGCGCTCGCCCCCGCGCCGCTGGGTCCTACCGGAGCAGCGGAGAAGCCGCGTCCACCGGCGGCCCGAGACCTCCGACAAGCATCCGTCGCGTTTCCCCGCCCCCGCGGGATCCCAAGCCAGCAGCCGGGAACCACCGCTCGCCCCTTTCTCTCCACGCCCCAAAGCCTCCAGCAAACAAACGCGCGACGATGCTCGCTACCCCCGCCCCGACTCGCGCGCGCACGCACACACACACGCACACACTCACACTCACACTCATACACACACTCGCACGCCGCAAGCCTTCCCGGGTGCCATCGCCGCCCTGGGCAGAGAGCCTCAGCCAACTTGGGCCCGGATCCGTCAACACCGGCTGGCAAAGGGCTGCCCGCAGCGGCCGCCCCGCCCCGCCCCGCCCCTCCCGGGCCCGGGTCCCGGTCCCGGCGGCCAAGCCCCGGCTGGCCAGCCCCCGGCCTCCTTCACTGGGGGGGGGGACCACCTCGCGCGACCGGCACACGGTCCACGGCCCTCGAGAACACTCGCCCCTGGGCCGCTCCGAACCCTTGACCAAACCCCGAATTAAGCCCCTCGAAGCTCCAGCCCTGCTAATGGTGTGTTCCGTGCGTGAGTGTGTTTGGGTCTCCAAGGCGTATACATCATTTAACTCCTTCGTGCTTTCCCACCCATCCTAAACAAACAGCACGTTACCTCCCACCCCGTCTTTCCTTCTCCGCGACCCGACCTCCAACCCCACCCCGAGCCTCACCAGCCAAGTGTCCAAACTACGGTACCACCAGGTACCGCCCCAGGTCTGGAACCTCGACCTCCCGCCCGGCCCAAGCCCACAGTCCCCTCCGGCCCCTCCCCTCCCCCACCCGGTGGCCCCCGGAGAGCCGGGTCTGGCCGGAGCGGGGGACGCCTGGGAAGCGCAGCCTGCGCCCCTCCCCGGGAGCCCGGCAGAGAGGGGCTGACCTCCCACCTCCAGAGGGGCACACGCCTTACTGTTCAGGCGCCCTGGAAAACACAGGTGCCGGGGAAGGAGAGGCGGAAGCAGCCTCCGGGGGCGGGCGGGCGGACTCACCGAACATCTGAATGTGCCCTTTGGTGATGGGGTTGAAGCTGCCGCAGGCAAGCAGGATAACGTGGGTCTTGGTGGTCTCAGTCATCGTGCGGGTGGGTCCCTCGCGCTGGTTCAGGGGTCGCCTCTTTTTTTGTGTCTCGCTATGTCTGCAGAGGGAGAAAGGAAGGCGAGGCTCCGGCGGTGGATGCTGTGGACTCCAAGGAGCCGCTCCAGACGCAAACCGCGTCACTCCCCGCCTCCCCTTAACGCTTGCAGCTCCGGCAAAAGCCGAGGCTGCTTTTGTATTGCTCGGCTCCGTCCTCCCCTTTTCTCTCTAGCCTTTTTCACGTCTCTCCTGGTCCTGGTCTCCCTCTCCTCCCGTTCCTCGCCCCCACCCGCCTCACTCCGTCACGCTCTTCCTTAGTGTTTATGTGCAGGGCAAGACACAGTATCCCAGCCCAGAGCCATGAACCCTCACAGCATGGTGTGAGCCCTTTCTTTCTCTTACCTCCTTCCGACTTTTCCTCCCACATGCTAACATTCTTCTGGCCACAGCTACTTTCTCTAACATTTCCAACTCCAAAAGTGTTTGATCTTAAGAATTTTTTTTTCTTCCTCAAAATTTTAAGTGAGAAATGACAATCGTTCATGTCAGGAATGCTAATTTCTTTCTTTTCCCCCTTATCTGATGATTTTGGACTGTTGAACTGAGTCCAGATCTTCACCTAGCGGTTGCCAAGAAATAGGGGGAATCTGAATCCTTCTCCTGGAATAATGAGCCTTTTGTGGGTTGAAGCGATGCCGAGAACAGATATGGGGCAGAGTTACCGGAGCTGTATTAGGAAACTACTGTGATCTTATGTAAGCTCCCAAAGTTGAGACAAAGATTTACCCATTCAACAAGTGTTTCTTGAATGCTCACTATGTGTGAGGCCCTGTGTATAAACCCTGCCTTATAAAGCAAACTCACCCTCTTGATGGAGTTTACATTCTAATGGAGAGAGATAGGTGATAAGGGAGGAAAATATTAGATGGTAATTGTGCAGTGCACAATAAGGATGCCCTTCACTCTCTGATAGAACTAAAGGTGAATGGGGGAGAGGAGCCACTTGAAATCCAGTAGTCAGGGAAGGCCTCTCCAGGGAAGTGAAATTCAGATTGCAACCTAAATGGAAAGGAACTGCTAGTACACATATTTTGGGACAAGGAAGGATTGATTGTGCTCATAGTTGTGAAAGAAGGCCAGCGTGACTAGAGTGCATGAAGAGGAAAGCGCTAGGAGACAAGATTAGACTGTCCTTCAGGACTGAATGAAGTAGGGCTTGGAGGCTAGGATAGGGACAGGATGTTTTTCTAAGTGGAATAACTCAAAGAGGACTAACAAAAGGAAACCGCTGAAGCTTTAAGTAGGGGAGTGATGAGTAATTTACATTTTTATAAGATTACTCTGGCTGGTAGGCAAAAAGTGAGAGGGCGAGGCAAACGTTCAGGAAATTCTGCTAGTGACCTAGGGTAAGGGGAGTTGTCCTTGGGCTAGGATTTGTAAAGGTGAAGTTGATGAAAAGCAGATGGTCTCAGGATTTGTTTGGTAGATAGAATTTCTGGTCTTTCACATGGGTTGGGTGTGAAGGATGAGGTGAAGAGAGATCTAAGAACTTGTCTAGAAATTTGGCTTACGCAAAGAAGTGGGCTGAAATTGAGAAAATGGGGAAAGAAAGTTTGAGTGATAACCAAGTGTTATATTGTGATATCTATTAATTCTTGTTTTTTAATGGCCTTTTGAAAAGTTGAGGTATAATTGACACATAAGTTGTCTTAGTTTTAGGTGTACATAACAATTCCGAAATTAGAGATCCACAGGTACAAATATTTACCTTTCCTAGGCTTTGAGATTCTTGAATAAATTGCTACCCTATATTAGTGGGTTGTTGTTTCTTATTCAAGATCACGTAAATATTTGCCAAATTTTGCTAATATTTGCAGTAAATATTTACTAAGTTATGCTGAATAGCAAATCAGCCCTAATATGCACAAAATTTCTAGTTCAGATACAAAAGTCCTATGAATTGATGTATATTTATAATGGGGTTTGTATCTTCCCTGGCATGTGATGCAGGTTAGTGGGGTAGAAAGTGCAAGAGATACTTAAGGGAGGCTGACTTGGGTATGGAACTCTGACACTAGCTGGGCAATTAGCATAATTATAGTTAAGCGATAAATATTTTATGGAGTGTCTGCATGTGCAAGGCACTTTCTTTAGGGACTGTGAATAAAACAAAGTCCCTACTTTACTAGAGTTTACATGCTAGGGGGGAAAACAGACCATAAAAAAAATGAATAAACATAATGACAACAGGTACCACAATGAAAAATAAAGCAGGGTAAGAAGAAAAGGAAAGGGAAATAAATCCTCCTTTACACAAGGTGGCTAGGGATACCATCTTTGTTAAGATGGTATTTGAGCAGGAGACCTGAAGCAAGTGAAGGAATATGTTGTTTGACTATATGTGCAGAATAGCAAGTGAAAAGAGTCTGATGAGCAAGAGTGTCAGAGAATGTTCAAGACGCACACATACATGTATTGCTGGAGAAATGAAAGAAAGTGAAAAGTCATTGAAGACAGACTAGAAAAGTAGGACAGACACATAGGGCCTTGTAGTCTCTGGCCAGGGCTTTGATTTTTCAGAGACATAGGAAGTCACTGGAGGGTTTTGAGTGGAGAAGTGACATGAGTTGACTAACATTTGAAAAGCATTGGTTTGGCAGGAGATATGAATTCTGGAGTCATCAGTATAGTTTTATATTTAAAACCATAGAATTAAATGAGGTCATCTAGGGAGTAACAGATGTATAAAGAAGAAAAGAGTCCCTCAGATTCAGCCATGGGGCACACCAAATCAATAATAGTGGCTAACATTCATTGAGTACCACTAGAAGTCCAGGCACTCTAAGCTGTTTACAGATGTGAATTCATTTAACATTCACAATAACTCTAATTGTGAGTTCATATAATTCTAGTAAGTTCATGTAATTTATCCCATTTTAGAGAGGGATAAAGGAGCATGGAAAAATGACAGAACTGGTCCAAGTTCAGAAAACTAGTATGTAAGGAGCCAGATTCAAACTCTAATAGTTTTTGATCAAAGGACCTGCTCTTGACCCATATCTCATTGTGTTTCACTGCTATGCTATACTAACCACATTTGTAAAAATGAGGGTAACTATACCCACTAAGCCACAGAGATGTGAAGATTACTGATAATAGATGTGGAATACATAGCATATAGTAGGTGGTCAATAAGTGATACCTATTTTATAAATGAGAGAATGGGACTTCTTAGCAGAGGTATGAAGAACAGACTGAGAATTGCCTTACCACATCTTAGGTTTTTTTTCTCTTCTTTATCCAGGAGAAATGGAAGAGTGGAGAGCAAAATTCAGTGTTAACTTGCTGGAATGACTGGTCACTCACTCAATTCTACAAGTTAATTTTAGTTAAAAAAAAAAAAAAAGAAAGAAAGAAAGAAAAAAAAAAGAAAATATCCAATTCAGGATTCCCACACACAAGAGTGGTCAGTAAATATTTACTGATGAATTAAGATCAAAAACCTTTTTTACCAGCCTAGTGCCCAGAGAGTAACAATGACACATGAGTGTGTTATACAATGCAATTAATATTTTCAGTCTTGTAGGTTATGTCTTAAGTAATAGTTTAAATTCTATTGGTTAGATTAATTGGTTGTGATTCTAATTGTCTCTTGTCATTTTCCTTATGCTTATATCTAATTTCTGTATTCCCAAAGAGGGCTCTGGAATTGGAATATAAAAACATGGGGAGGGGTGTCTTGTGGCTCAGTCAGTAGAGCATGTGACTCTCGATCTCAAGGTCATAAATTCAAGCCCCACGTTGGGGAGAGAGCCTACTTACAATTAAAAAAGAAATTTAGGGCAGCCTGGGTGGCTCAGCGGTTTAGCGCCGTCTTCAGCCCAGGGAGTGATCCTGGAGACCCGGGATCGGGTCCCACATCGGGCTCCCTGCATGGATCCTGCTTCTCCCTCTGCCTGTGTCTCTGCCTCTGTCTCTCTCTCTGTCTGTGTGTCTCTCATGAATAAATAAATAAAATATTAAAAAAAAAGAGATTGTCATTGTTTAAAAAAATAAAAAATAAATTTAAAAAATAATAAAGACATGGAGAACAAGTTCTGGTTCTGCCACCTGTTAATTGTTTGGCTTTGGGCAAGTCATTTATTGCCGATTCTGTTTTGTCACCTGATGCGACTTTAAAATGTGCCCTGTGTACTTTAAGGGATGCTATATGGATCAAATAGCACCATCTGTGAGTCACTGACTTTTTAAAAAGCATAATGTAAGCTTTTGGTCAAACTCCATAGTTGTTACCTACAAAACTTCTATTGCTTTTAAGTGTTTAGTTGTTTCTATTGATGGCTTTGTCAAAGAAGTTTCTGGAAGTTCTGATCTTAGAGGGTAATAGCTTTGGAAATGTGCCAGTAGTGTATATATATTAACCAACAAAAGCAAATAGCCAAAAAGATACTAATAACAAATTTATTTTCAGGGAGGATTCCAAGGCTGGTTCATGAGATATAGAAATGGGAATGTCAACTCTTGCATAATGCATGTACCTTAATATATATAGTGATCTATTCTCGGGAATGCTTATTTTAACTGAGGTAATATAATTTGGTCCAATATTTCAACTTTCCAACAGCTGGGTAATTGCTTTAGGCTGAAAAGGTACCAGAGTCATTCTCCCACAGCTTAAATCTTGCAATCTGCTCTAGCCAGTTTAGTTTCCAAATGGCTCAAGACAGACAGTCCAACCCAGAACTTTCCCTGCTGTCAATATTGGTTCTGAAGGGTAGGTATAAGTGTCTATTGGGTCAGATTTGAAATGTACACATGTGAAGTCTAGCAGAGTGGATACACGCGTTCCTTTCTCTCCCTATTGACCTAGTCCAGATTAATCATCCATTTATACCACAGATCAAGGGGAAACTATTCCATGTTTACAAAGCTGGTTCCAAGCTAATATTAGGGGTCATCCTTTAAGGAAGAGCAGAAAGGCACACATGTTTATGTGGCTCCTTTAGTCCTTGTCATAAAGTCAGAAAGTGAATATTTAATGTTTTCCTTGTAAAAAATATT